CTTATTCTATATCTACTATCTCACAGTATTATAAATAATTGACTTCTGTTTTTTATATTTCCTATAAATAATAGTTTGGTACGAATGAATTTTTTATGGTGTAAATGAGCGATGGTTAGTCGACCGTTTCATGCTGTAATTCGTTTCTTTCGATATTGTTTCCCCAAAACTATTCCTATTACCTTTTTAATTATTTGACAATAATCATGACTGATGAATGTTTAGAAAAATAATTATTAAATTTGACAATTTCATAAAAGAAAGAAAATATCAGAAAGAATAGAAGTACTAGCGAAAAAGAAACTGAGTATTAATAATTAATGTTAATGCAGAGAGCAGTTAAATCGCATGTAAAGGGATGAACACTAATGTAATTCACGTTCGAACAAATTTTACTTTGTTCTTAATTAATTGACAATTTTATAATATTTACATCATGATAATTTATAGGAGTTTCTATGTAAGTGTACATATAATCAGTGCTTAGGTCATTGAGTCTCCACACGTAATATCATTGTCAATCATTGTCGAATGAAAATGCAAGGGTGGAGAAAAAGCTTATAATTATTTAGAAAGGAGCCTGTGAAACTCTGTTAGCGAAGACGGTGCGAAGGAGTAATTGTATTTCACTTGTTGTATTATACACTGTAGAAAGATCTTTTGCGCGTTAATTATCATTGATTATATTTCCAACGTCGTAATTATTTTAACAAGTCGATTAAGGGAAACAAAAGCTTTTGTTGTAAACCGAAGAGATTGACGAGGGGCTTTAAGTGTGGATTTACCGCACATCACATTCAAATCTTATATTTTTATAACGAATAATGCATAAAGCATTTGCTGTACGATCTTGAATTTCAGTTCTCGTTAAATTCGAATCAAAGTGGAGATATACAATTATAATGTGACGCGCAAATGATTTTCGCAAGAATACTTTTAATATACATAATGAATAAATGGAAGAAACAAGTGTACGTGTATGTAAATGAAGCAAACAAGAGACAGATACGATACGAAAAAATCAAGCGATTAAATCGCTCAGAGAATTGAAAATTCTAAGTCTATAAAGTTGTAAGAATGAATGGAACGAATAAGTGAGCGAATGGGAAAAAGGTTGCAAGGAAAATGAAAGACCGGAAAGTTGTCAGAATGAAAATAGAGCAACAGTAAACAGGACGTTAAAATATAAATACAATAAAGGTAACGGGAAGGTATAAATATTAATTTTAGAATAAAATGTCGAGAGGTGAAAGAGCAACAGAGCGCAGAACGACGAAGAAAATAGTATAGTAACACAACGGACGAGTACATTCTATCAGTATTTGCGCAACAAAACTGAAAAAAATCGTAACTAAGAATGAAGCATTTAATAAAATAATTGGATAATTTGATCGATTCAGATTCTTCCATCGAAGCTGCTGAACGATCCAAAGGAAGTGTGGGTGTGCTTGCGTATGCGTGTGTACATGTACTGCGAGAGAGGAAGAGATAAATATTATATATATAGATATATATATATATATATAAATTATACATACAAAAAATGAAGAAGAAAAAAACAACTATCGTTGATCGCTATATCAAGCAAGTAGATATATATAATATTTATTATATTGAAAAATATATAGTAGCGTGTCGATATAATTATTACGATTTGTAATTGCGCGTTGCGGCGCGCCCACAGTAATGGCGCCCATTGACCGCTTATGCGAACCAGAAATCAACTATAAAAAACATCGACGAGAGTGAAACCGCAAATACAGTGTCGAGGATTGAAATTAAATGAAAGTGCGTGCTTGTGTATGACAGTGTCAATTGTAAATGCGTTCGGCTTTGTTAATAGTGCTTTGAAGGTTATGTATCGAAAAAATATAGTTTTCATTCGTTGTGCGCAGGTTAGCTTCGATTGATTGGTACTGCGCAAGCGCAGTAGCGATGTTTGTGACATGTCTGTATATCTAATGACTTATTATTTCGTATAATTTTTTATACTACTATTCTTTTTCCAGCTTATATATTTATATTCATTGTGTATATGATCATAAAGTGTCAAGCATTGGATTTGCAAAAAACCAAAGAAGTATTCTCTCATGGCAGGGCCTATAGAAAATTTAAATTGCGCGCTCTTCTGCTGTAATCGATAGTCGAATTCGTGGTGGCGCAAGTAACTAAAAGAAGAACGCGCGTATTATGAAATCTTGCTTTTCTAGTCGCGAATTATTTATTTTAAGCCGAACGCAGTTTAAGAAAGTGTAGAAACACAGTATGCGAATACAAGAAAACCTCAACACCAAAATAAAACGGAATTTCCTGCAATACAGAAGTTAGATCAATTACGGGAATTCTTTGTAAACTAGATTTAAATATCCGTATTATTCGTTGTCACGCGTATTCGTTTGTCCGAGTCGCTTTGAGGTCTGGATTGTAACGAACATTCTCGCGATAAATAGAGATAAAGAACGGAATCACTATAACGATAGTCGGAGTACATTTCGTCGTATATTACGTTCTGAAACCTATGCGAGCGTAAGTTTTATGTGTACGCCAAGCACGACGGGTGAAAGGGACTTCTGCTTTCGAGGACTGACTTTTTTTTTATGTCGTTCTAACTGATAACTGTAACGATAACGGTAATGGTAACAATAATAATATTAATATTGATAATGGTAATATAAAAATAATAATGATAATGATGTGCATTCGAATTGCTAATAATAATTATAATAAATAAATAAATAAATAATATGTATACTTTAAGGCATACGATCTCCCAGCGTGCTTGGCCGTGTGTCTTGTTTTTAATGGTTTATGGAAAAGAAATGAGTTATTGCGGTATCGATTGAAATCGATGATGATCGATGTTTATTAACGATTAAAATGATTATCGATAGATGAGAGAAAGTATCGAGCAAACCCTTTGCATTCGAACTTCCGATTACAACGAGAATTCTAATTTTCATTTGTGTTTCGCAGTGCAAATGTGTGTACAGAGAAAAGATGGACGATTAGCGATTCTTCGAGTTATATTAGATATTACGTGCGAATAACGAGAGGTAAAAAGTGGTTCGAGTGAGAAGGGTTACTAGTTAGAGGCTTTATTTTTCTTTCGTTTGACAGCATCGAGACTACCAACGTATGATTGATAATGATATCAAAGTTATGACATTTTTATGTATACAACGAATTTTCGTTGTAGTTGCACGTCTATCTAGTCTGTAATTTATGGTAATGCGCACGCGCTGTTACTATGTTCATGTCTCTAAATGTATACCCAGCGGACAAAAAATTTAGTTGCTGTATTCTCCCATGAAGCATAATTATGTATACTTTATGTTTTACTATTCATAGTAGCGCAAGTATTTGCGAAAAATAATATAGGAATTTTTGTAAGTGCGATGTTTTCCATCTTGATAGGAGCTGGTTCGATTATCGATACTATGTTGGTAGTTAGTGTGCTACAGATGCTTGATAGCGAATCGATAAATTTCTCGCGAGTAAAGAATCGTAATAGTAGGGTTCTAACGTCGCTGATTCCGGCGATAATTTAGTCGGTGTTAAGTCCACACACTTATTCAAAAAAAGAATCGACGGTACGCGCGGTCGTCGATCGATTATAAATCAACAGTAGAAATAGTAGAGCGCGACAATTTCAGAGAGGTAGTATTACCGTTGTTCCGTTGATTGTTTTCATAGATTTTATTATGCCGTGACCGCATCGCGTGTTCTTGCTAAACGTTCGTTTACATGCTAAAGGGTAACAATAAATAATTGACTTATTAAAAATTACCCGGTGAACTTGTTGAGTCTTCGAATTACCTGATTTAAACATTCGCGCCATTGAATTGATTTAGTTCGATACGTCGATGGCGAGCAATCGACCCATCGAAAATTAAAATGTCTCTAGACTACTTATTCGTTTGAAATTAGAATTGAGTGCATACGACAACGAAGTAGCTTGAACAGGTATTTATTTTCAAATAATTTTCCCCAGTTCATTTAATACGCCTACGGAAAATGATTCAGAAGATTAATATAGTTTGTAATGGAAGATCAGAATCGAGAAGAAATTCTTTGTTTCTGGTTTGTAAAGATGTAATGGAAAATCTAGTCAATTAGAAAATTTTCTTGAACATTTTCCTTGGGCATATGATGGATAGTCGTATTTTTCTTTCGAGTCAGTAAATTAATATTACTTTTTCTTGTATGTATATCGATCGCTCGAAAGACAAAAAATCGCAAGGTTCACGAGGCGCGGCCACGCCTAGCCAGGACTATTTTTCTAAGTTGCAAAGTATAATAAATTAATGATGTTGCATTATCGTTACTAGAGTATATTATAATGTACATTGATATTTTAACTAGCTAAGTATGAGAAAAAGTGTTACAAAACATAGTAAACAAACTGCATATATATATATACACAAATGTAGATATCTTCGTTGCAATCGTCAAGTATCGATTAATCGTGCCGGTTCGTACTTGCGGTCGGCGCATGCGCGCGCGCACGCGGCAACGTGCCATTAGCCTGATACCAATTTCAAATGACGGCGACAGGAATTAGCGAAAGGAGACACGAAATACCATTTTTCGAGTTGAAGCGCGCCTTTATAAGTTCCAGTGTCGATCGATTCACGATCGAGGAAGTACAACGGGTAAAAACCAAACGAGAAGAAATTTCTAGACGCGCAATGACCCGAGGCTGGAACGACGTGAATGACAGTTCGAATAAAAAGAATTTGCGAGTGAGAATGTACGAATGTCGAAGCATGAATGTGTTGTCGTTCTTCAACCAAAAACAAAAGAAAATTAATAATGGAATCGTTCTATCAGTCACCTCACGTATATTATACAATGTCATAATACTATGCTGCCATATGGTATAAATACATGTCTGCGGTAAGAAGTATATTATTAAAACATTATAAATAAATATGTTATAAGTAATTATCTTTGTGGTTAAATCTTTTAGACTAAAGAACCACCCTTTCCCCCACATTTTATGTAAGTATTCATTTACGCCGCGCAAACGTACTCTGATTGGTGTTCGGATCTTACTGAAGAGTTGCGCGCTAACACGAAACAAATATGATTCGGTCAGATTCAACTGCACATGCGCGAGGCGGCTTGGAATACAAACCCTCCGTAGTCCTTAGAATTTTGTTTCAGTCCTCGTACAGTGAACTCCAGTTGAATCGCACTCGATGTATTGAAAAACTTTTGTATTAATTACAGTGAGCAATGTAGTGTTCAAATTAGAATTGACGGGAGCTTAATTTCATTTCTTTCCTATATTTTACTTCAAAATTTTGCGAATAACGTGAAGAGCATATAGTGAAGTGAAGTGTTAATTGAATGACAAATAGTTTATAATAATGGCAAAGTTTTTGGCAACTATTAAAGCAATAATAACTCGATTAGTTTTTGCCGCACATGGTTTCATTGCGATTTGGCAAGTTACTACGTTTAAAAAGAATCCTCTCTTTTGGTACTTGAGTAGCCCAATTTTACTACTGTTCTTTGAGGGTATCTTCACGCTTTCCATAAAAGAAAATCAAGAATGGAAATGGTAAATAGCAACTTGCAATACATGTTTATAAATTTAAGTTAACTTTCTTAAAATATTTTTGATTCAAATAATTTCTTAGAGAATTATACGTTGCTTAAATTTTTAATTTATAATTAAAAGAATCTAAATATTTAAAAGATCAAGAATATGATATCGCCCTCGTAAGGGAATTCGAACGATAAAACAAGCTTACTTTTCCGTGCAAGGAAGGGTGTGTTTTTGTGGGTTCATCTCAATTTGACAGTCGGAAATTGAAGCATTAGTAACAAGAGCGGGACGAGACACAATCCACTATACGTAAAAGCAGGTCGAAAATTATCGACACATAGAAAAGGCTACGTAACAGTGACCCTCTTTTCTAATATCCTTTTCCATTCATATCCTGTGATCGATTGGATGCAGATTCAGCAGAAATACCCTACAAATATTGATGTATTAAAAAATAAAAAGCGAACATGTAATCACCAACTTATAAGTTTAAATACTATGATCACTAGTTTTATACCATTCCCTATTTTGTTAGCATGTACTAAAGGAATAAGTGTTAGAGAATGTATAATCTTCTTTCTTCTTCAACAGGTTCTGTCCCTCTGTATTCTTGTACCTCAGTAGTGTAGTGCCTGCAATATGGCTGCTGGAGTTGGACAAGGTTGATAGAAGACTGAAAGCATTTGAGACAAATGTCAACATATCAGAAAACTTTGACCTCACCAACTTGGCAGCTGAGGACTTGAAACATTTGGAGAAAGCATTGGGTGTCAGTATAAATTTTAACTTCTCCATTAGAAAATAACAAATGCAATCCCTTCTTTAAATCATGTATCAGCAATATGTGTTAAGAATATTATTATTTAGGTAAATATCTACCTGCCCGACATACGCATCTCTACGGAGACATGGGTGACTTTAATCGAACAGTTCCTGATGTTAATTCTGATTATTGGAAGATGGATGTTACCAAAAGGTGAACTGACACGCGACCAACTAAGTCAATTGTTGTTAGTTTACATCGGAACAGCCGCAGACATCATCGAGTTTTTCGATTCGTTCAAAGAAGATCGGATAGCACGCGAACCGGTGCTGGTTTATCTGACTCTAGGAATTTGGGCGTGGTCCTTGATGCAATTTACCGTCGTCCTGACGGCTACCAAGTCCAGGAAGTCGCGACTCTCCTCCGGAAGTGCTGTCAAAAAGAGAGTACACACACAGACGAGCTGTTGTAGCATCGACGTTTGGGGGATCGCTTTGAACATGCTTCTACAGGTGCACTTTACTTACAGGTGTCTTCTTAGAAGTTGCACGCGTATTTGCTTCATTAAGTTTCTTCAAAAAATTTGTTACAGGACGGACCATTTCTTGCGTTCCGACTTATTCTAATTATACACTACCACATTGTCAGCTACATGAACATTTTCTTTACCTGCAAGAACACTCTGGTTATACTTCTTCAGCTGTATCGCTTATACGTCGTGCAAACGGAGAACAGGAACAAGCGAAAGAAGAAACCTGAAATGTCAAATATTAGTATCATTTCACGAGGGGACATTTATAAGGACATGAAAAGTCGAAAAACTTCGGTCGAAAGGAGAAGAAAGAGAAGAAGAGACAATGACGTGGAAGCAAATTACTCACACAGTGAAGAAACAACGGAGGAAGAGGAGCAACGTGATTCTTCTCCAAGAAACAATCATTCTAAACGGTGCACAATGTTTCCTGAAAAGAAAACAATTCTTTGTTAATAGTATTTCTTATTAAGTTTGTTGTAATGCACTTCTCAGATGACTTACTTGCTAAATTGTTACAGAAAAACGCATCAGGACATTAAACACTCTACATCCAGTTCTGGAAAACATAAAAAATTACAGAAGAACGAGAACAAGAAAAAATCCTGCAAAGATTCTAGAAATGAAGCGTCTACTGAAGAAGAAAAACGCAGACGGAAGATCGACAGAAAACCTTCAGCGAAGAGAGACAGAAAATTATCAGAAGGCACCAGGACGAAATCCAGAACCGATGACTCCAGTAAAAGTTCCAGTAGAAGTAGGAAGTGCAAAGACGACAGTGAAGACGAGTCGACCACCGAAGAAGTTGCTGAAAAGACAGTCAGTGAAGAAAGTGAATCAGAATCTGAAAGAAAAAGGTACATAAAGTAGTGGAAAACATCTTCACAATAGAACAAAACTTTTAATAATTTTTACTCTTCACAGATACATTCACCGAAAACGACTGCAAGACAGAGACTGACAAAGACGTATGGGCATCATCGCGCTCTTGTTCGTCTACTCTGCGATCCTCGTTACTTGCATGCTCTTCATACATGCTGGTGTCAATAATGGCATGGTGTTAACTACGAACGTGAAAAAAACATTTCGTACTAATTAGCTCTTTGCACTCCAACCTTTTTTATGCAACATACATCTTTAGCTTCAATTTACTTTTGTTATTAAGTACATAAAAAAATAATTGGTGTATTTTATACTTTTATGATTATGTAGTCTGCATATTATGTATGTTTTAAGCGCACAATTGGAGGGTAAAGAGTTAACAAGAATCGTCGAGCACAAAATTGTAATACTATCTATAAATTCGAGTAGCTTAAATTAAGATAAACTTCAGATTAAAGATTAAGACATTATTTTAATATTTGATCAAGTATGAACTTGACCCTTCACGTTACATTAGTAAACGAGCGACAAAACTTAATTAATATACAATGTTTATATTATTACCTGAAGTCTTTGTTAATAAACGAACAAAGAATTTTTGCTTTCTGAAATATTTCTAATGATTTAACTCAGGCATAACCAACACTCTTCCGGCAAACTTTACTATCTGAAAGTTCAACCTTAGTTATGCCTGATGTAACTAAGTTATAAAGTTCGATAATTATAAAAAACTAATTACGCAAAAGAATCTATTCAACATCGATTGCAAATATAATAAACTTCAAAGAACATATTCTGTCTTCTAACCGCACTATTACTTATCTACTCGGATTCTTGCAAGTGTCCAACCATTGCACACTCTGCACAGCATCCAAAGTGTCAATATAAGTAGCTAGATCGTCCTGATGTGTGCCAGTGGCTGCACAGTACAACATGGCTGTGTCTTCAAGCAAGTCCTGCAGGTACTGTGCCTTGGTCCCCGTCGAATCAGCATCGTCATTCACCGTAGACGTGCTCTCTTTCTTCTCAGCATTCGTTGTAGTCTGGTTTCGCTGAAGCGTCTCCACGTGCTTCGACACTTCGATCATTCTCCCAGGCGTGGAATCCAAGCCTGTCGGATTGATTCTGAAGAGCGACTGTCTGTTTTGAATACCCGATAAAAATCTTTGATCAGTCGTATTACTTTTCAAGTCCTTTGGCTTTCCCATAGTCAAGTGGAACCGCCTCCACTTTCCCTGGGGAAACGAAATATTTCTATTTCTTTCCGGGGAGTTTTGGTTCGTGTTCTCGTCTTTGTTGCAAAGTTCATTGACTCTGATATTCTTCACAGAACAGAAAGGGGTGTTCTCTGGGGTTGACTTTTTAGCAGTGTTCTTGTTGTACTCAGAGAGGATCTTTGCAATCTCTGAAGCTTCGTTGGTGTAACAAGTCTTGTTCACACCTTGTCCTTGACCCTTTTTAGGCACCTCGCAATACAAATTCCCTTCGCCAACATTTGGTATCTGAATCTTGGTTTGCTTTGCGGTGTTCAGCAAGTATCTGGTCATGGCGAATTCTACCTTCTTCTCGCGTTTCGGTGGAGTCTTCTTCGAGGACATCTGTTCGCTGAGGTCGAAGTGTTTGTATATCGATGATAACTCGCCTAAATTTTCTTCAAGAACCGGTGTATCCGCTGGTTTTACGTTCACGTTGCTTGATGTAGATTTTAGAAACCGCGTATCCTTGGTATCTGTATTAACTAATATGAAAGGATTCTTGCTAGGTCGTATAACCTCTTGAATCTTCATTTGTCCTCCCTGAAGCGTTCTCACGTTACTGAAGGCGATAGACTTTTGTGTATTTGCAAGGTAGACTTTGTGCGCTGGAAACAATTGCGTTTTTGGAATCTGATTGAAGTTCTTAACGTTCTGTGGTATCACAACTGCTGTGTAACTATCCGCAGCTTTACTTTCTTGAGATTTCTGTATATTCTCTTTAGAATTATTTGGTGACTTGCTTATAGGACTGTTTTCAACAGCGTTTACAGGCTGCTGTGTTTCTTTGACGATAGTACACGTTTTGTTTTCATTCAGCATATCCAGCTTTTCCTCCACGGTGTTCTTATAAGTAGGAGTCATTACCTGCGAGCAGTAACCGAGAACACAATGAAAACTTTCGTGCATACAATTTTCAAACGATTTTTTCTTTTCTGAAGAATTCTTTGGTTTAACATTCGTGGAGCTTTTGGTCTTAATTTTGCCTCTTCTTTTCTCGTAGAACGAAGGAAGAGAATCGCGTAGGGGATCGACAGACACTACCTCCACTTCCGGCCGATCTATGATTTCGCAATAGGAAAGTCCGTCGAAGCTCGTAAAATACCGTCCCAAATATTCAGCAGCCAGACCAAGCTAAAAGTTCAAGCTTCATTAATATATAAGTTTTATTCAAGGTACAGAAAACTGAAAATCTTGCCTGTGGATGGAAGACTGGTCTCTCGTGCATTCCATGCACAGGCCATTCCTTCCATTCCAGAGCATCCTTCATGGTGGGCGCCTGATAAGTCGCTCCTACGTTGTACATTTTTCTCGTGACGGACCTCGTGTTCATGTACGGCTTTGTGGAAGATTTGCCTCGTTTACTGGGCTCTGGGTCGAAAAGCATCTCTTTCCTTTTCGCGGAAAGTAACCGCTGTCTTAATCGCGGGAAATTTTTGTCGGGGTCCTTCTTCTTCGCGCGTACTGGATTTCTTCTTACTTCTGCTGCGCTGCGGCTGCAAAAGGAAAAAAAATTTTACATGCAATTTTTAATTATTTTATGTAATAAAATATTTGTGTTAAATATTTTATGCAACGCTTGGCGGTATATAGCACCGCCATTAATACGTAGATTCGTCACTATTAGCATACACAAACATTCGATCGAAATGGCAATATAACGAGAGTATTAGAAGACCTACGTTTTCCTTACGGTTCGAACTCTCCTCACTTTAGCAACGCCACTACCGGAAGATGAACCGCCACTGCTCGTTTCCGTGGAATCACGCACGTAATCACTGTCGTCTTTATACTTTTTATCCTGCTTGATATTAAACCTACCGAGAGGCAGTTTCGGTAAAAGTTCCAAGTTCCTATATTCCTCCGCGACAGTTTCCTGTTCGATCGTTACTGATTTTAGATCATGTTATTCTTGTAATGTCATTTTAGATGTTTCACTCACCTCCGGTCGTTCTTGTTTCTCACTGGGTCTTTCGGATTGCTGTCGCGATGAACGATCGTCTTCTTTTTCTATTATAGCAATCACGCTCACGTCATCGTCCTCCTTACCGTTAGAAATACAATTTTGTCGTTGCAACATTTGTTTCGGGTTATCCATTTTGTGTTGCACGTAATTTCGAACGTTAATAACCTTGCAATACCTTCAGTTTATTTCATTTGACAGTGTAATGCACTGATTCCGAGAATACGTAGAATTAACCCTAGAATAACAAGATTTTTGCACACAATAATAACATGTTAAAATTGATACCAATTATCTATGCACTTTTGGATAGAATTTAATATAATATCAATAGAGAATATTTATTTAATAAAATAAGATATATGTGTATGAATTACTGCTGACACTGTTATTGCATTACTATTGTAGGGTTAAATACGTAAACGTATTTATGTTGACATACTTTTTTAGACTGCTCAGTAAAAACACATATTATCTTCCAATACAAATATCTCCTTCCTCATGTCGTTCGTAAAACACTTGTTGACAAATTGAAACTGTTTTTGTCTCCTGAATGTTGCATGAAAATATAACCACACGTCCCATGCTTTTGTTTCCTCAGTCGGATAAAGTGAAAGGGAACAATAGTGTCATCTAGCAATTTTGATTCGAGTTCAATGACACTTATGACACCGGATGTTAATTATGCACTGCCGACCTTCAGAATGTTACATTCTAAAGTTTTCTGCTGGTATTTCACAAATCTTATAACTACGGTTAAAACTGTAAATGCGTGTAACACTATCCGTGCGTAGTCTCCGACGTTCGAAAGAAATCTGTCCTTTGGCCACGTGTTAGATCCTCGAGGACTTCGCAGATGTACGTCATTGTATATACAATTGAGTATCGCATGCATCTCCTGAAGATCGTTTCAAAAATGTAAACCTCATCGATACATTGATTTACACATTTCCTGTTTCAAACTCTACTGAAAATAAATTACAAAATGAAAGAAATAAAGAGCAAAACAATTTCTAAAGAATTCTACAAACAATACATGCTGTAACTAAAAAATTTTCAAGTACCAGAAGAGGGTTGGTTCAATGAAACAAAGAATCCCGTCGTAGCTCTTCACGAGCGTTGATTTTATTCCAAACAAAATACTAAAACTATAATAGCTATTCCCTTTTACGTGTATGTATAATACATATATATATTTATATTTATATATAGAAGTACGAAATATAACATCATCGCTCGTATTGCACATGGAGACTAAAACTGAAATATACACATTTATGTATAACCTCCTTTTGGCACTCTATTTGACTGAATATTTATTTACAAAAAAGAAAAGAAAAATTTGTCTGCGGTTATCCTCGATGATTCTCTTAATTCATATTGTCCGTGGTTAGAGCCAGCGTAGTCAAAACTGATCGCCGATTCGGGTTTACACCCAGGTTCTCCCAATTTATCCATGACAAACGTGCCGTCAGATCTAAGGAAGAAACATAATCTATAAATCTAGGTTCAGAAAGGAGCCAATGCTGAGTGCTAGGGACAGCCTAGATATTAAACAAAAGCTAAGAGAAGCTTGTAGAAGTTCTAAACAGAACTTAGTGTAATTTAAATTAATTCTAAAGAAAAATTAAGAGGTGTAGAAAAATTCTAAGCAGTTTTTGAATGTCTAAGGAGATCCTAAGTGCAACCTGGAAAGATTCTAGGAGGATTCTAAACAGTCTAGGATTTTATTAGGAAAACTTGAAGAATTCTTACCACTGGTGTTCCATTCAGCACGTTCCCCGTTTATCTCTCCTCTAAGGCACCTCTCGACGTAAGTCAGTGGGTCAAGTCTAGCTGCCAGCACCTCTCGAAGAAGAGCGATGTAGGCTATTGCCAGGCGTAGAGTGTCGATTTTTGATAGCCTCTTCTCGTAGGGGAACGTTGGTACATGAACTCTCAGCTCGTCGAAAGCCGAGTTGATGCTGCTAAAAATCGTAATCACACTGACAACCTGTTTTATCCGCTCATTGAATTCCTTCGACTTATTTATTAACTGTGTCTTATAATTTGAGACTGATATATCAAATTACTGTGAACATTTCCTCACCTCAGCATACGTTTCCTTTCCCTGATGTTGGCAGCGTGTCGCTGGATTCTGTAGGGGCTACCATTTGGATAATAGCCCTCTTCTACACCGTTTAACTCTGTATCATTGTGATCTAGAATACACAGTGTAATTAAATACTCTGGGGATTTAAATGAAATGAGTTAAAAGGAACAATTGTATCAATGTGATTACCAGGTGTAGAAACTGGCATGTGGTAATGAAGAGGAGAATGAGTATGAGAAGACGTGTGTGCGACGTGCTGGTTGGATCTCCCGGCGTAAACGCAAGAAGGCAGTTCTACGAGATCTTCTTCGCTGATGTCGCTGCTGGGCCCCACGTAATACTGACTACTGCAATTGATAAAATTATTTTACAAACATCATTCAACCTACAGTGCCTGAAGTTCAGATTATAAGCGCAAATTCTAAATGAAGATAATGGTCAACTTTCTTCCTTAGTACTTTTGAAGGTTCTCCGAAAGATAATATACTTTGTACAATGTTGGAGTAGATTGTTATAATGTTCATCTCTCTAAAGTTAGATAGAAAGATCTTCACCTTGTACAGGCCACGGTCGAGTCAGCGGCTCTAGAAGTGGTACCGACCCTATGTCGCATCCTCTGACCTCTGTCCTCGTATTCGTACGTAGAATGACTCGCCATTCCGCTTCTCTTTACCTCACCAGCTCATTAATCACTACACTTGCAACCCCTAGAGTCAATCTACTAAAGAGTAAACTTATCCAATCCCTATGGAACTTCAAAGAACCTGAAGATCCAAAATCCTGGAGATTCTGAACATTCACTTGTTACTTGACAGAATTGTCTGCTAGTTCAGGGGTAATCTAAGTCCTTCGGGAACACTTCACGCGGATGAACAGCAAAATTAAGAAATGTCCACGGGATAACCAGGAGTCAGACTATCGGCAGAGTCCCTGGGGAGACTGGTTTATATAGCGGAGCGAAGGGGATGATCGATACAACCCCTGGGCGGAGACCGCGTCCAATAGCGACTGTTCTAGGGGTGCAACCGTCTATCACAGCTTCCAGCGATTGGCGAATCGGTTAATAACCAGAACCTCAGCCTCGGCGGTCCTGTGGTTCATTGTTACTGCCTGGCTGAAATTTTATTTCCATCGTTTTCCAACCCTCTGACATGGTTCGGGAGGAGGAGGACGTTTACTAGTAGACGAACCAACGAGAGACGAGGAAGAACAATCCTTTTCGCGACGAGAACTCGTTTCCTACCGAATGGACGCTCCTTAAACCTGAAAATTCGAGGCTCAGGAATTATGTCGGGATGCTTGAACATTTTATGGGGGCGGGTAACATTTTTGTCCAGATAGCTTACTTACTTCAAGACTGTTAATATATTAACTACCCCCATCAGCATTTACCATTTCTTTTCACCAAGTTAAACGCGTAGTTCAAATGCAAAACACACTATCATTTTTTATAAAAATGACAGAATTACAAAATAGTAACACTTAAGGGCAGCAAAGATTTGATTTCGTTAATAAGCACTGAGTTTGACCGCCGAAGCTTTTAACAACATTAGCTTAAACGGTGCTCAGGGAAAGCTGACAGCCTGAGAAAGAGTGGATCGATCGGTATGAAGCAACCGCGGACAGAGCTTCCCCTTTATCAGCGAGAAATAGAGATCTGAATGGGCCAATATTCAAATGAGACGCGTTTAACGGACAATGAGAAACGCGGCGGCGTCGGTGGCGATGCAATTATGCAAGGTGTTAATACGATCACAATGGTGGTTCGCTAGGGTTGTACCTAGGCGACCGGCAAAGTTTTGTCGCGCCAACCATTGGAAAACGAGTGTGTCTACTCCTCATCGGTGGTTGCTGAAGGGAATTACTATTGTCGTCTACCAATACGCATATAATTGGGATTAGCCCTGGAACGTATGAGAACACGATTCAGATAGAGAACCTCTCTGGATTTCACGTTCAATTTGCATATTTTGATATTATCCGGCGAGATTGGAGTCGTGTTGCTTATTGAGGCTTTCCTTGATGGTTTAGTCCCTGCAAATAGAAAATATTAATCATATTTGTTTGCAAAAATTTTATGCTGTAATTGAAGTGACTGCAATACTGCACTAATGCAATACTGTACTAACATAATATTGTAACCTAATACAATTGAAGACAGAGTGATTGTTGCTTACTGAAGGATGTGTACCTTGATGAATTATCAGATGAGTGTAATAGGCACATCTATAGTAGATATTGATAAAATCTTGGGGTATCATTTTGTAGTAGTAAAATGGGAACCAGATGCGGCTCGAGTGTCGGTTTTACGAGTATCACTCCGCAAACGTTCCGGAGCGTGCCGTTTCGAGGATCGTGACAAATTTCAAGAGAGCATTGTGTGTCCCCGCAAACAATTATTTATCTCAATTTGTCACGTAGCCGAGTAGAGAAGGGGGAGAATGTTGGCCAACCAAAATCTGGTTCAAGCATCTACGATTTTTTCCAGCCTCGTTCATCCGTGAATTCTGTGCGAACAAAATACACAAACATTTAATAAATTAATAAGATTTAGTGGTACAATATTACTAAAATATTATATGTAAATATCTAACTTTAATTTTTTAAATTTGTGATAATGAAAGAACCGTGATAAAGTTTAAAAAACAGAACATCTGAAATTGTGAGCCCCACCTACTAAGCACAGGAGTTTATACAAGAAATGCCGAGGGATCGCGGATAGCCGAGCAAACATTTAATTCGCGATTACATTATTTTCGAGGGATGAGGAGCAGAAGGGACACCCTGTCAGCACCAGTTCGTCCAGAACACATCTACAAACTGCAGGGAACAACGGGGTACCATTCCAACCCCACGATAATAGAGATTTCACGCCGCGGGCCCCACTTCGGTTCTCACAGTAGGGGTCCCATGCTTGCTCGATTATCTATTGGCCAACTGGTCAACTGGCCAGTGTACAGTGAACATGGGTCAATATATTCTCTGCCTGGTACGTGGAGTGAAACGCGTGCCTCTAAGTATCTGTTTATAGTCCCTGGGGATCAATTTGTTTGCTAAATTATTTATTGGTCAAATACGCTGACGAGGAAGCGGTTCTAGGCGCCTTCTGAACCACGAATATGTTTGAACTGCGGTTTGGGAAATGTAAACTCCACAATTTTGTTCTTGTCTGTTGTAATTCTTCGTGACAATGATCCCAAAAACATCTGGAATAAATTAAATTGTGTGAGTGATACGATTGCAAGGAGCATCATGGAATTGAAAAGTATTTGCATTTGATTATTTTATTGCATTCACCTGATGTAGCTTTGATACACAGTGGATGATATTTGAGAAATCGAGGAACGTGATACGTAAGGGGATGCAGGATAATCCTGACGTATCCGTCACAAAATTGCTTATGAGATTAGGACCTGTTTTATTTTGACAATACATTGTCATTCCTATTTTAAATAAAAAATGATTATTATTTATAATTGTGAGATATTCAAACTAATTTTTGCTTCTCAAAGATAATCGTTAAAATCCCTTTAGGTGGCGATAGGTCGTGAACCAGCTAGGAAATGAAATATGCGGAGCAATGCAATTGACGTTCACCGCCACAAACTGTGTGCAATGACACGACACTGAATTGTGGCCAATCGACGGGCTGACGCTGAAAAGAGAGTTGGGTGGAACAGAGAAGCCGTAGACAAAGAGAACGCATAGGGACGTGGGATCGTGTGCCAGCAGAGGAAAGAAGAAATGAAGAAGACAGAGAATGTGAGAAGATAAAGCAAAAGAAACAAACATTTTCAAGATAGACTTAACAAAAGAAAGACACAATTCCTAGTGAGCCATTCAGTAAAACAATAACAGTATGCAGTTACTGAATGAATTCAGTACCTCAAAACAGAAACAACTGTTTGTGCATGAATGTGAAAATTAGTTGATAAATATTTCAACTGAAGATGAGGTATTTAAAGAGATTTCTCGTGAGCCACACAGTGAGGAGGTAATAGAGAGGAGGTCCAGAAGAGTAACAGAAGACTTCTGTATCCCCCTTGCTTTCTGGCACTTACTGGTGCCCTGAAGTCGTCCCACCGGCGGCCACGTGGCGAAGCGTGCAAGCTTTTGTCGCGAGCTCGGTCTCTACTTTGCCCCAAAGGGGGAGGATCGTCGAGATTCAACGTGCAAGGACACGTGTACCAAATAGGCTTGGTGGCCCAAAGCCTGTTTGCGTCGGCCAAGGACCACGGTCGTGATGGTCAGGAGTGCGATGAAGCGTGTAGGTCTTCGACTGCCTTCAATTCCAAAGTTCAGAGGATATGGTTAGCATTTATCAACGTAAACTTTTCCATTCAGCTGACATTGACATCTTCAGCATTCTTCACTTGGAATTTGTTAAGTTTCCTGCACTGCATGGGGTACTTGAGGATTCAGGAAGATCTGTACAAGTGGAAGATTTATTTTAGTAAAATTAGTTAATTATATTGATAGTATAAAAAATGTTCTGTACCAATTATATCATCTATTACTTTGTAGATACCAGTTGCTTGTATAAAATAAAACTAACGTGAAGAGAATAGTTTTCACTCCGTTTATTTCCTCTTCCTTTTTTGAATTCGATCGAACACGAACATCCATCTCTCTGTTTTCAATAACCATTTCTTCTGTCTTTCACTTCTATCTTCTGTCTAACACCCGCTCATTTTCCTTTTTTACCAACACTCTCAGTCGCGACGAACGGATACCTTTTGTGCCAATCAACGGCCTTCCATCGCCGAAGGTGAACGCCGATAATCCGAGCCGAGGAATCGACGTTTCTGCTCGACAGCTTCAACGGGAAAACGCTCTCGCGTAAGGTGAAATTCCCAGGGGTGAAAAAACTGACAGAAGTTGATAACCAGAGATTACCATGAACTTTTACTGATCATGTACCTGCCAGTAATTGATTTCATTTAATCTTCTCGTTCATATTTTGTATTCATTAATTACTTTTAAAGTTAATATTGACGTTGGATAGTTCAGGTACCAAAAGAAGCTACTAACAGCAGTCGTGGGACGAATAGCAGAAGCCTGTAAAAAAAGGAGAGCGTGCGAAGTTGTGATTGTCACAGAAAATTGGCCGTGCAATGCTGCTTAACGCAGCCGATATAAACATACGTGTTGGAATTAATGATACACCGTTTAGTTACGCGTCAGTTGATTTTCCCAGGGCACCGCTTTTGTGCCTAATAGCAGGGGGAGCTTTGGATGGGGCACCATGACCCGCCCGCTTCAACGCACTCTTCAATATGTCACTGTGGCTAATTTTAGGGGCAAACTACCGACCACCAGCGACAAAGTCGAGCATTCTTCTTTTTTTATACGTCTAATCTCTGCAGCAATCTTTTGTGAACTTTAACGTGGGTTTCACTAGGAAGCTTCATACTCGATCGTCAAATTATCTGAAACAACGATGCTGATTTAGATCTTTAGGTTCAATTGTATCATCATAAAGTTTATATGCTTCAATTAGACAAATTAGAAAATTAATATGAGTAGTTCAACATTGACAGTTTTGTTAAAATCTTGTGACGAAAGTATTGCAGCTCATTGCCACAGAATAAAGCAAGTATTTCATGGTTTTAATTATTCTGCAATTATTGAGGTATAAATTCTTGAAATGTAATTTGCTTTCATGGCGACGGTGAATTACCAAATGATGGAACGTCCGAGTGTAAATGAATCAATACGTTACATAATTGTCAGTTTAGTCAATTATATCACTTTATACGCTATCGTTCGATCTTGTTTCCGACGAGATAATAAATGACAAAAGATGATATCGATTTCCAGAGTTTAAACAGCTCTATTAAATGATGGGATTTTTCAACAGCCTTCTGTTTTGTACATCAATTGTTCTTCTACCTCCAGTTTCCTATTTCTATCTTGACATCTTTGTCTTAAATATGAAGTACAAAAGCTCTGTAAAATAAAATACCTCAAACAATTACATAATTACCCTCAACATAAAGTACAACAATTCTTACAATCTGTCAAAGTAGAAGCAATGACTATTTCTCTCAGGGTACCGACTCAGCTCAATGTTCCAATCATGCTCGTACTCTAGTTAAAATCATTTGCACGTTCCCGGTAACGTGCACCAAACTTGGTCGATCGATAGTCAGCAGCCACCGGAAGCGGTCATGTCGATCGAGAAGCCTCTTCTCTAACGCAAAGGCAATTAATTACGGAAGATGATCGGTAATTAACAGTAACCGTAGCTGGATAACGTTCATACGGCAACGCTGATGTGGAATATACGAGGAGCCGCGGCTGTAGCTGACTCTTTATGGTGGGGTGTGCTCGTGACGTGAATTATTAGCCCTTCGGCCCTCGAGACACCCTACGGGGGTTGGCTCGCTGCACGGGCGTGGCTTATTCGAGGTGGCAGGCGTGGTCTTGACGCCACCCTGGAAAAACCACTAGACAACCCTCCTCTTTCGTCGAGGATATGCGCAAAATTGATTCCGGACGGATTCCATTTCTTATGAACGATTATTTTATAGACTGTTCAAATTGATTTATAATACACCGGTAAAATAATTATCTTTCTTCTGTCAGACCAACCAATCATTCAAGAAAATTTATTTTCGGGATTGTCCAGGGGAGCCACAAAGTTAGTTCTGCAATTAGTAAGAAAATTTAGTATGCGTCATAAGATTTTCCTTACATCTTGTGTTAAGTTGAAGATACTACCAACCTCATATGATTAAGCTCCCCAAAAGCTGTACCACATCACAATTCATTTATGGTCTTATTTAAAAATATGTATATAACATTTTCTACTTAATTTTATCTATTTAACATGCCGGTCAGTTTGAATATAACTGTGGAATGTCCTGTACCTCTTTTGAAGTATCTAAAAATTAATCTCCCATAACAGACTCATTCCCCAAAAAATTCTAGCTCACTTGGAAAAGGAACGAGAAGTCTCTTAAGCTTTGCAAAAGTGTACTAAAGCTAAAGCGATCCCGTTTAATTCCAAAAGCTTGGAGGCTTGATTACAATCGGGATGCTAACAAAACGCGACATAACGGCGAAGGCACGCAGTTCTCGTGTACGACGAAATCATAGCGAAAACTTGGTGTAGTTCAAGGTGGTTTCCTCCATCTTTCCGCAGGAAGAGCAAGTTGTACGAGTGGATGAGGCCGGAGGAGGAAAACAGCCGCAGGAAGGGATGGGACGAGGACGCAAGGGAGGAGAGACTTCGCCATCCTCCGAAAGCTCTGTGCCCGCGTTTGTACAGTGGTAATGGGCTGTCAGAAGCAGACGTTCACTGCTCGTGCCTTATATACCAACACTATTACGCTGCTCTTGGGTCGGTTCCTATCGGCTTCCTCGCATTATCAACCCCTCTGATTGCGTTCTCCGCGTCTCTCCCTTCGTGTCTCTTTTTCGAGCCCAACCTCCGCCTCCTTCGATATCGTCTTCTGTGAACCGTGTAATCAACCATATACGCACGGCACTGCTCGCGAGAAATACTTCTCAAACGATGGATACCTGAAATGTGTCGTGTTAGAGACTTCATTTCTTTGATTACATACAAGTAATGAAGAATAGATTTAAACAATGTTTACTTATGTGTATCTCAGAATTAGTTTTCAGTATGAACAAATTTTTAGGTTAAAAGAGAATTCTGATCTCTAGATATGTGTAAATAGTACACTCTCTACAGATAAATTATATTGCTGTTATAAATATTAATGTCATTCAACCAGAAGACTTGCTTTTAAATCATTAATTTGTGTTAAGAAATACTCATTTACTTGGGAAAGTTGTATAATTACTAACAATGTATCTAAAGTAAACATTTAATTAACATTAAGAAAGTTAATTAATCTTAGAAGCTAGCTTTTGATTTCTTTAATTCTTGATACTTTAACGAATTGCAAATGACACTTATATTATCTAGAAATCTAGATTCCCAGTTCAATCAGTATAGCTTTCATCTGATTTTAAAGGTGTTTTAACTTTTTAAATTCAATAAAGCTATATTTCAACCATACTGGATCAATACTGCAATATGTCAGTAGCAGTAACAACATTTCCCTAGTTAATAATTTAATTGGCTTCTGTTTGAACAGCTTCAGTGGTTTAAAATAAAATTTATGAAAATTTCTTTGTTCATATCTTCTTATCATTTTTCATCTGCAAGGACCAAAAGTCCTCACTGGTAGTTCGACCGCCGCCACGTGTTCATCGGCCACCCCCAACGTGCCTTTCCTTCCCGCAGTGATCAATACTGCGAAAGGTCTTCTGTACGGGACAGGTATATATACTACGTATATAATACTAGGACGTTGCTGGTCCAGACTTCAGTCGAGACGCAATACAGATAAAAAGACGCAGGTTCGTCAACAGCAGTACGTTGGAATCGTATCCTTGAAAACTTTCCATTTTAACGAACTTCGAATAAATAACCTAAAGTCTATTGTTCGTTATTTTACAAACGCTATTTTTCATTTGCATGCTTTAATTAAATAACTGAATATATAAATCCTGAGTTCTGAAAGAACAATTAATTCGTCAGTGACGAACAGAGGTGGGGATAAATGGGAACATGTGCTCTAACCATATAAAATGAATACAATTAAATAGCAATAAACAATGTATTTTGTTGAAATAAACATAAGATCTTTACCACAGGGCTCTACTTGAAGCTGCAATGCATATTTCTTATGAAAACAGGTAGATTTTCATCAGTCTTTTGTTGCGACCTTCATATTTTCAACTCGCCATTCCGAACAATTCATTTCAAATATTCGCCAGTTAAATTTAGTCTTAAAATGTTTTTATATCGATGCAGAACTCGGTAGCATGATGTGTAGATCTACACTGCCCCTGGTGTATGTAGCATAAACTATTTTTGAGCGATCGAGCCGAAGGCGATCGAAGCTCTTATACTTGACTTTGCAACTTCTTTGTCCGCGTTTTTCTTTTGCACCACTCAACCAAATCTCATCAAATTTTGCACGCACATGCGTATGTACATCCAGATGGACATAGAAAAAAAAAATTTTTAATCGGACTTGCCACGGAGGAATAATCACCCAAAAAGCTGATCCTAAAAAATTGGGGTCTGCACACGCATATAAGGAAAATAAAAAAATGAATATTTCGGCACTTTGACGACGCAGTATGGTTCCTGAGGCATTTAGAAACAAATTTCTATTAGGGTTTGATGCGATTTGATGCCTAATAAAGCCAGAAAATCAATTTTTGTCGAATTTGGTTCAAAACGGTACAGGTGGCGCCATCTAGCGGCGAGCGGCGGAACTACGAAAAACTAAAATCTCGATTTTCTCGAAAACTAGGGACTTTTCCGAAATTCTGAGATATACAAA